CCTTGGACCCTGATAGCTACCTCTTCTAGTCATTACTTCCATGTCTGCACATCACACACCTGCGCTGCTGCTTCCTGATTTTTTTCCCGATTTTAGACCTTATCAGATATTTCTTATTCAGTCTACTGGGGCATTTATTCACTCAGCTCACCATGCAGAATTTCCTTCCCACATCGAATGGAAGTTAGTTTAATTTTATAGGACCGCTACACTATTCAGATGTTAAAAAGACACACACACACACAATCCTTGATGTACACACACACGCGCGTGCACACACATTATATAGAGTCCTGTCATTCTGCCTCGACGTGGGCTCACTTTTGGTTAATAAGAAGTAAGACCTTGGACCCAGCAGTTAGCGTAATGGCTACGTCACTGAACTCCCACGTAGTTGACCGTGGTTTGAGTCCTGGACCCAGTGGCTTAAACTCACTCAGGGCGCATGTGCATGCGTGCCCATGATCTTGAGAAGAGAATGGAGGAGAGGGGATTGCAGCATGGCCATCCCCCCCGGGGGGTGATTTCTTGCTTTCCATCTGTCTCTCTCTGTCTTTCTGGCAAGCGCACCTGCCCTATAGCAAAAACCTCTCCAAAAAAAGAATAAGAAGTAAGACCCCATTTTATATCCAGCCACTTCACAAAACTCACAGGGAAAAATAGTTAAGGCCTTCAAAGCAGAGATCCCGAATTTGTGTCTGAGTCTACCACGTACAGGAACGGCGTATGCGTGTAAGAGTCTCTTGTTATTTCTGAATCTCATCTGCCGTCTCTGCAGTGCGAGTTAAAACAGTACCTCCTGGGAAATGGATAAATCACCAGGCACAAACGTGGCCCTTGGGAAAGCACTCGGTCAATCACACGGCACTACAGAAATCTTCGTTCCTGTTACGGTCATGACTAAGGGTCCCTGGACACGCAGTCCCCACAGTTACTGGTCACTCTTGGGCACTGTTTGTCTACCTGGGGTGAAAACTAGGAGTTGCAAGTGGATCACTCTTTTTTCTCAGGGAATACAAGTGACGTCGATGTAAATTGTATTTTAAGTCCAGAATCTGAGGATCCAGATCTTCCATGGATCTACCTGAGACCAAAATCCACAGAATAAAAATCAAGTGTCTACTGGGATCAGAGAAGACAATTTTGTTTTATATTTACAGAAAGAAGAGGTCCCTTACGTTTTCTTCTTCTTCTTTTTTAAAGTGTATTTCTTTCTTCCATGAATAAGAGAGAAAAAGACAGCACCCCCAACAGTGCCTTGACACTGTAATCCACCCAGGTCCCAGCCAGCCTGGCATACTCAGGGAGTCCCCGACATAAAGCCGGAACCTTCCCAAGCAGGTCAGGTTTGCGGAGTGTCATGTTTTACTGCCGTGCTAGCTCCCGGCCCCTCCAAATGTCTTTTAAAACGTAATTCAGGCTCAGCTTCCATGGTGCAGGCAGTAGGAGCACTGCTGTGTGAGGCTGGCGGCCATATGGGAATGCTCCAGGTTGAATTCCAAGTCTACGGGAACATGCTGGGTGTCCCTGCAGGTGCACCTGTGACCCTCGCTAGCTGCAGAGCTGGGGTGGGGGGGGGATCGTGGCATGAAGAACCTACCCCAAGTGCTTCTCTCTCTCTCTCACGGAAATAAATTTTTATTTTTAAAAATGGTAATACCCAAAACAAAAACTGTGTAATACGAGGACATAATTTCACTCCCCAGAGGCAACTCTTGTTTCTTCCCATAGTTAGCTCCACATTTCTACGTAGTATGTTGCTACAACTGCTTCTGGATTCACAGACATAATCTACTTCCTTCCTATTACAGTAGGGAGAACTTTGCAGGGACAGCAGCAGGTGCTGTTGTGGTTAAGGGACTGGATCCCACATGGCTGACTGCACAGTTTGAGTCCCAGGCCCAGTGGCTTGAAAAACATGCCAGGCACATGTGCCTGCCTGCCCAGGATTCCGAGAGGGGCATGGAGGAGAAAGGACTGTCTTATGGCCATCCCCCCTGGAGAGTGCTTTCTCACTTTCTTTGTGTCTCCTCTCTCCCTCCAGCAAGCACACATGCCCGATAGCAACATTTTAAAGAAAGAAAGAACTTTGTAAAAGTGTCTTGAACCAAACTTGGGAGGTAGAGCACAGAACCACCTAGCAATACACACGGCTCTGACTCCGCAAAAATAAAACGCTTCTTTCACATCTAGCCGTCAAAGGCCTGCGGAAAACGCGGCATGCGTAGTGCTTCTAGATAGAGGTAGGATGGCCGCTGCTGACAGCTTGGGCCCAAGTCACGAGACTACTTTAAATCACTCCCCGAATCCATCTTAGCAATGCCCAGCTTCCCCTGCCCTTTCCATCCACCCGACACAGCAGACTCCTCTTCCTACAGCTACAGAACAAATGGTAAATGGGACCCCAAAGAACTTATTTCAAGGCAGGCATGGATGCAGTTCATAGGAGCTTTGTGGAAATAGATTAACCGCCTGAGTGAAATCAGTCTTTAAATGATCTGAAAAGTTAACCAAAGCCAATAAGTATGCTGCATTAAAGAGGAACTTTATGGACTGGATCTCCTGCTCCATTCCTGTGCTGAGAAGGCCCATGAAGGTCTACAAATGTGGACTTTACCTGTGGGCCATCAGCTTCAGACAGCTTCGGGGACAGCGTCTATGCCAGGTGTACAGCCAACTGCAGGTCAGGCAGGTGACCCTGATAGGCAGGCATGGGACATTCAGGAGAGCAAATCTTTCCTCCCGTTAATCAGCAGGATAAAGGTGATTAGGCAGGAATTATTTTTCAATGACCTATATAATTTCATCAGGGCTGCTGTGGCTATTAGCAGAAAGCAGCCGACTTCCTAATGAGGTGAATTTGATAGCAGGGCTCTTCCCGAGAAGCAGAGCGAGCTGGCCCCTTTATAGGAACACAATGGGTGGGCACTGTTTACTCCTCCTGACGGCTGTCTCTCTTTTTCTCGCTCTGTCCCTCCAGGAGGCTGGAGCTACATCACCTGCGGAGTTGGAGGAAGCTGGATCTGTGATGAATGGATGGGTCCAGGAGGCTGGGACAGGACGGGGCTAAGTCACCAGACCAGCTTAGGCTGAGTCCCAAAGTCCCAAGCAAACACAGCTGCTGCCACGGCCAGCACCTCGCTCTGCGGGGCTTGAAATAGGACAGCAGCTAATTCCAGTCCCCAGCAGAATTGGGGTTAACAGGGAGCTTTGCTGAGACTAGGACACACACGCACTTCATAATAACGCCCTGAGCGCAGTTTCATCAGAGGATTTGTGATCTGGAGCAACAGCCCCCGACGCGCAAGCCCTGCACCGGCGAAGTCCTGCAAAGCTCAGAGCGGCCCCGCCTCTCCTGGGACAGGGGTAGGGCTAGGGAAACTGAGCTCTGGCCTTCGCCGGCTCCTCCCGTCGGACCCGGGCTCTCTGGCTCCAGGGACCTAGGGAAGGGTGGAGTGACATCTTCCTCCGTCAAAACAAGCAGGCCCCTGTCCCCCGGGGTCAGTCTCCGAGTAACGCCCCAGCCCGGAGGCCGCGACCCTGGGAACCACCCCCTCCCGGATACCTGCTGCTCCTCCCCGGCGGCGGAAGGGGGTGGGGGGACCCTGCTCTCCCTCCTTCCCGGTCCCTAAAACCAAAGAATGGACCAGCGCAGATCTCGGGTCAGCGCCACGTACCTGTCGGCGGCCGGGCTCCTC